TTATTAAACAATATGTGCATAACTGTGATAAATGTAGGCAGTTGCTTTGAAAATATGCTATGTACCAGGGGTGTCAAACTCCTGGAAGGCCACAGCCTAGGAGAATTTAGTTCCAGCCCTGCTTCAACACACTACCTTTAGATTTAGTTTGATCAGGTGTGTTTAATTAGTATTACTGCACTGTTACTCTGTAGATTGTGCAGTAAATAACTGTAAAAAACAATGATTTAGGCATCACCACACACTCCCACAGGCTGTCCGTCTTATTCTAAACACAAAGGTGTTAAAAAGAGTTTTCAGAAAATGCTGGCCAGGTGTTTGATTTGTTTACTGCTGAGTGTGCTCTATTCTCTGTCTATCAATTCAGATGTGGAGTCTGATATGTTTTAGGCTTTAAATAAGAATCTACAATGAGTAAGTAAAATGTGTTCAAATGTTTTTGAGGGTTTATAAAATAAGGCTGTGTTTTAAGTTATATTGTTGTTATCTTGAACTGTGTACTTGAAAGCTACATTGTTAGCTAGTTAGCCTCTCCTCATATAACTTCTTACATTACTTTTGTTTAAGTATATGTATTTATTGGATATTGCACACTGCCATAATGTACAGATGCTAACAGTTGTATGTATCTTTCTGGCAACTAAGCCAAAATTAAATTCCATCATCTCAGTAAGGTAGCATGTGCACATCATCACAGGGAATAACAAAAACATGATACACATAACCATCCACACACAAAAGCTCCACTGTCCGGTCCCAGGTTGTGAGTTTGTTGCTAAGTATTTTTCAGAGCAGTGTTTCCACCTATGAATTTATATTTGAAACAATAAAAAAAGTTTGTTGTCATGAGATAATTATAACAATAAAAAATTGGATCCTTTGGTTTTTCAGTGTTGCCAACTTTATTTTTGTTTTCTATAATTATTTTAAACTTTTTGAGATTTGACAGAGCTGTTAATTATTTAAAACTTTAAAATTTAAAATAATTATTTTGTGTTTTTTGCTGTTCAGTTTTTTTTTTTTTTTTGCATGGTCAGCATTGAGGAGAGAGTAACACATTTCACTGCAGCACTGCAGCACTTTGTGTGTGTGTGTGTGTGTGTGTGTGTGTTTATTGGATATGTGATTGTGATAAATGTTAGCAGTTGCTTTAAAAGTATGCTATATACCAGGGGTGCTTAATCCTGTTCCTGGAGATCTACCTTCCTGCAGATTTCAGTTGCTATCCATATCAAACACACCTAAACCAATTAATTAGGACCTGAACAACACGTGATAATTACAGGCAGGTGTGTTTGATATGGGTAGCAACTGAAATCTGCAGGAACGTAGATCTCCAGGAACAGGATTAAGCACCCCTGCTATATACCATGGGGGTCAAACTCCAAGTTCCTGGAGAACTGCAGGGCAGCAGAGTTTAGTTCCCACCCTGCTTCAACATTACCTGTAGATTTCTAACAAGCCTTAATTAGTTTGATCAGGTGTGTTTAATTAGAGTTACAGCTTAAAGTCCCGGTCACACTGCACTTTTCTCCCTTTAGACTTCCATTCATACGCATGTGAATGCTGCAGACCTGGAATGATAGCTCATGCGACAAATTTTACAGTTTGCAGCATTGGAAAGTTCAAGCTTGGAGAACTCTGAACTGCAAAATCACATCATGTGATTGCTTGAGACTAATCAAGGATCAAACCATGACCTCTCTGAACAAAAATTATGGACCAGTTGCTTGCTTTTTCAATCTCTAAATATTTTGTTTAATCCCACTCCTTTTCGCAGAGCCATATGACATATGAATTTTGCATGCTTAAACGTTAGTTTGACTGCAGCCTTGCTGTGCAGACCTGTGGCTCTCAGTAATATGTAAGATGATATTTATATCTGCTGATTTCTTAATTTTGTTATACATTTTCTGTTTTATATTTGTTTGCTGCCAAAACAATAAAATAAGTTTGTCAGAGTTTACAACTTAATTAATTTAAAGAATTAATAACAGGTAAGAATACTAATTAATTTTAGTAACACCTTGACATACTATTGTGTATGCAGTATAATGCTGTGAGTTGTAACACTACAGTACAGTAATTAACTGTACACAGTTTCCAGTTAGTTACCACTACTGCTCTATTACAATAATTAACTGGCAACACTGTTGCCAGCTACTCACTGCAATGGTTCGGTTACAGTAAACAACTGGCAACACTGTTGCCAGCCACTCACTGTAATGGTTCAGTTTCAGTAATTAACTGGCAACACTGTTGCCAGTTACTTACCGTAACCAAACTTTTACAGTGAGTAGCTGGCAACAGTGTTGCCAGTGTTCTACTGTAAAAAAGCCTGGTAAGGTCTAACAGTGTATCTGTGCTCAAAGTGCATTTATACATGCTCATTCATTCATTCATTCATTTTCTTTTCGGCTTAATCTGGATTCGCCACAGCGGAATGAACCGGCATCTTATCCAGCATGTTTTTACGCAGCACATTTTTATGCAGCGGATGCCCTTCCAGCCGCAACCATTTATTCACACACTCATTCACACTCATACACTTTGGACAATTTAGCCTACCCAATTCACCTGTACTGCGTGTCTTTGGACTGTGGGGGAAACCGGAGCACCCGGAGAAAACCCACACGAACGCAGGGAGAACATGCAAACTCCACATAGAAACGCCAACTGACCCAGCCAAGGCTCGAACCAGCAACCTTCTTGCTGTGAGGCAACTGCACTACCTACTGTGCCACTGCGTTGCATTTCTACATACTTAAATATATATATATATCTATCCATATATAAATCATATTTGTATGATCACACAGTACACAGTGTCTAGTCACACACACACAAACCCAGATATTAATTAAATTGACAAATGTGTCAAATAAAAGGTCAGGACATATGTGTAATTACTACGGCATATTCAGAAGCATTTTGTGTATCTCCTACAAACTAATAAGTCTTAAATGTCACTGAGGATTTATGACAATGTTGTAAAGGTTTTATCAAACGCCTTTGTCCCTGCTGAGATTTTACCTGCATCTTCATGTCTTAATCATTCTGCTGATGGTGCTTTTGGTATGTATGATTAATTATAAATAGGGTTTTGAATAATACAACTGCTGGACTGCTTCCTTGTAACCACAATGTCAATTGAATTGGACATTGTAATCAAGGGAATGTTGTTCTTGTAGGAGCTTGGAAGGACAAGGGCACACATATATTATTCTACAGGGAGCTAAAGTATTAGGTTGCATAATGACCAATCAGTTACCTTTATGTGTGACTGTACTGGTGATACTTGTATTGCAAGTTAAATATATTGAGTACTTAATAAGAAGAAAATGGTGCAATATTTAGCAAAACTGCATTTGATGGGTGGTAAAATATATGTATGACCAGTAGTTATTAAGATATTAGCCTATTATACTCCATTTTTTTGACCCGAAAGGTTGAAAAACATAGACAGTTTGGCCAACTACAAACATGCTACCTATATCAAACATCTAAAAATGTTCTCTTAATCTTCTAATTTAGATATACAATAGTATTTTCTAATGTTCTAAGAATGACAATGCATTAATATAATAAAAATAAGATTAATAATAATAATAATAATTGTATATATAATATATATATATATATATAACAGCAAGTAGTTCTGTCTAGTTCTCGAATCTGATTGGCTGATAGCTGTGATATATTTAAGTAATATCAGCATCTGTAAAGCCTCTTTACCCTTTGTTTATTACTCCGCCCACATACAACCATCAAAAAGCAGACACGACAGATCTGAAGTTTAAAAGATGCTTGCTCTACTGTTTAACTGTCAGCGTATGATTTGAATCCAACGCAGAAGAAAGTAGTTTCTCATACAAAAAGGTTTTTGAGACTCTCCATGTTTGATTTTATTTTTATATACACAGTTCGGCCACAGTTATCAAACTGTTGTATAAACGCAATATCACACTCGTAGCAGTGCGATATGGCTGTATATCGGCACTGGTTGGGGCACTAAGACCAGTACCGATATACAGCCATATCGCACTGCTAATTGTGTGATATTGCTCATATATATATATATATATTTTTTTTTTAATAGCATTAGTAAATGCTAATTATTAGTAATAATGTTCTTAAAATATTATTAGAACATTCCATCCACATTATATTAGTGTTCTAAGAGCATTTCTTTAAAATTTTCAGTGTTTTAAAACATCATTGCAGAAGGTTCTTTTTTAGGTTTCCAGTATTTTTTACGCAATGCATTAACGTTATTTTTTGTTATAATAATTTTTTATGTTATTTAAATATTTGTCAGAAAGTTGTTTAAAAATATCATTGGAACATTTTATACACATTATATTAATGTTCTAAGAAAGTTTTTTTTTATATATATATTTTCCAAATCATGTTTAACAGAGTAAAGAAACTTTCAAAGTATGTCTGATACGATTTTTTATTCTGGAAAAAGTCTTATTTGTTTTATTTCGGCTAGAATAAAAGGAGTTTTTATTTTTTTAAACGCCATTTTAGGGACAAAACTATTAGCCCCTTTAAGCTATTTTTTTTTCGATAGCCTACTGAACCATCAAACCATCGTTATACAATAACGTGCCTAATTATCCTAACATGCCTAATTAACCTAACCTAGTTAAGCCTTTAAATGTTACTTTAAGCTGTATAGAAAAGAAATATCTAGTCAAATATTATTTACTGTCATCATGGCAAAAGATAAAATAAATCAGTCATTAGAAATGAGTTATTAATACTATTATCTTTAGAAATTTGTTGAATTTTTTTTCTCTCCATTAAACAAAAATTGAGGAAAAAAATAAACAAGGGGGCTAATAATTGTGACTTTAACTGTATGTGACTTTAATTTGGTTTAGTGTTCTGAGCTATCAATATGTCAGACTGATGAATCATTGTGAAAGCACTATATTAAGTATGCTGATTACAGGGCACTAACATTTTCCACTGATGTGGTTCAGATAATACTTTGACTGGGCTTTGTTCTGCTCCTCTCTGCAGTGCTGATGAAAGGTTTGATGCCACCTTCCATACAAATGTCCTAGTTAATGCATCAGGTGCTTGTCAGTACATCCCACCAGGTAAGAACTATATGTTTTCCACAGTTACTAACCACTCAAATATGGTCCTAAGCGCGGCTCACATTGTGCAATTTTGGTCACAGTTTGGTTGTCTGAGAGAAATTTTAAAATCCTAAATGATTCCTGTAATTCAAGGCTGAAATCTGAGATGTTTGATTGATGGTTTGGCATGTTCCCCAACAGCTGATTGGATTTACAATTAAAGATTTAAGACAAGATTGTTAACGACACAAATACCAGCAAACTGACAACTGTGGACCTTAGTAAATAATGTTGTGTGAAAAATGTAATGATGCAATGTAAATAACAATGATTTTAGTTTTAACACCAAATAAAGATGTGCAAGCCAAGGGCATAAGTTGTTAATAGATCTGGTACTGTGAGTGCTAATTGTAAATATCTACATTCAGTTTAATTTTAAAGCAAGTGATATTAGTTCATATTTTAAGCAAAAATGTATTTTCTGTATTTAGTTAGCATTAATTAACAGTTCAATATTTTTGGTTTTGTCCTTTAGTATTTTTACATGTCTGTTTCATTTAATTGTATTATCAATTGTTTTAGAACTACTTCATTAAAAAAATGAGAATTGTCATATTGGCAAGCAATGTTTAATTGAGAATTGTCATATTGGCAAACAATGTTTAATTTATTTAATGTTTCACTTTATTTCATTTCATGATTCTTTGAGCTCAATTAATGGAAATGGTTTGGTTAATTTTTTCCAATGAATCCTCTAATTTACTACCTTATCTATACATCTCTAAAAGTATGTATTTTCATTTTGCACATATTGTGTTGTTTAAATTGCAATTATATGTGTGTGTGTGTGTGTGTGTGTATTTAGCTATCAATGACTAACACAGTTGTCAGCAATTATTAATGTTTGTTGATGTTAATCAACCACTTGTCATTGTGATATTAACAAGATCAATCAGATTGATTACTGAGATAATTCATTCTCAATCAATACCCATTTTCTATTATTATTATTATTATTATTATTATTATTATTATTGCAAACAAACAGCACCTTAAACTATTTTTAAAGTCACTTATTGTTTATCTCCAAACATGAAAGTAATTATTAGCTAATTGTATTTACTTATTTAATTTACAAAATTGTAATTAGTAAATATCAGATGCTATTTTTGCAGGTTAAACAATAGAGTTTAAAATGAAAATGATTTCAATATTCAACTATTGTGGTTCCCCTTCGGTTGGGGAACTTCAGTGCCATGAATGGGAGGATTCGGATCAGAAGCCGCTTATCTGGAGAGTATTGAACGGGCCAATGAATGAAATTAATTGGCAGCGTAAGCTTGCGCAGGTGTGCGACATCTGCAATTATCTCAGCATATAAGCACACCTGAAGCCAGCAGACGCCATCCTTTTCGCTTCAGATCCTTTCTGAGTGAGTCGATGAGGGTTCCTCTTGCTGATCAGCACTTCAGAGCGAACGAGTGTGTCTCCCGGTCCAGAGTGGGTCTTCGCGGTGGCAGACGGTCGAGCTGGGTTACTCCCTTGCCTGCGGTTCTTTGGGTCCGGTCCTCCAGAGCGGTGCGTATAGTTGCAACTTTCCTAAAAGAGCAACACAGTCGTGCAGCACGTCCTTTTCAGGATGGCGCTCCGACTGTGCGTTTCTGGATGCGGGGGTTTCCTGTCTCCGGATGATGGACACGATCACTGCATTGCATGTTTGGGGGTCCAGCATGTTAATGCGGTGCTCGCGGGCGGTTCATGTCGTCATTGCGATGCCATGACCGTTGCACAGCTAAGATCGCGGCTAACTTTCGCAAGAGAGCGAGCCACCCCAGTTGCCTCCTGTTCTAAAAAAGCAGCGGGCGCTCGGGCAGATCTGAGGGTTTCAGCGGGAGCTAATCCGCCGCCCACGGGCTCGCGGACCTCTCGCTCCTCACGGCGCTCCATCCAAGCTTCGGGTGGTGAGAGTGATCCGTCTAACCAGATGGTAGCTCTCACACTCGCTGACACCGGAGATCAGATGTCCTACGCGGCATCGGAGGGTGGGCTTTCACTGTCCGACGAAGATCCGGACCCGCTCGCCCCCTCCGGGCAGGTGAGCGCTGTCAAATCGGATCCTGAAGCGGACATGTTAGCCGTGCTTTCCCGGGCTGCTTCGGCCGTGGGGTTGGAGATGGTTTATCCCCCAGCTCCGCGGCCGGACCGACTAGATGGGTGCTACGTAGAGGACCAGAAGGCGAAGCCTTCGAAGCCTCTCGTCCCCTTCTTCCCGGAAGTGCACAGTAGGCTCACGCAGTCCTGGAGGGCACCTTTCTCTGCCCGTGCTGCGAGTGCCTCCGCCCTCACCGCCCTTGACGGCGGAGCTGCCAGGGGGTATGAGGCGATCCCATCAGTGGAGCGCGCTATCGCGATCAATCTTTGTCCGCGCGGCGCCTCTACGTGGCGGGGTTTGCCCCGCCTCCCGTCCAAAGCCTGTAGGTTGTCTGCCTCCCTCGGAGCCAGAGCTTATAAGGCTGCGGGCCAGGCTGCTTCTGCTTTGCACGCGATGGCCACCTACCAGCGCTACCAAGCACAGGCGCTGGCCGAGCTGCACGAGGGCGGGTCCAACCCAAGCTTATTACATGAGCTGCGCACCGCGACCGACTATGCTCTTCGGACTACTAAGTCCGCCGCGTGTGCGCTGGGGAGGACGATGTCCACACTTGTGGTTCAGGAACGCCACCTCTGGCTAAACCTGGCCGATATGCGCGACGTTGACAAAGTTCGCTTTCTTGACTCGCCCATATCCCAGGCTGGCCTGTTCGGCGACACCGTCGGTGAATTCACCCAGGAATTCAAGGCGGTGAAAGAGCAGTCGGATGCGATGGGCAATGTCATCTATCGGCGTGGCCGTAAGCCCGCTCCGCCCGCCGAGCCATCCACCTCCGCTGTTCCTCGCCGAGGGCGCCCGCCAACGAGTGCTGCCCCGCCCCCGCCTGCGCCTCCGGCCAAGCGGGCGCGGCGTTCACCTCGAAAGCAGGCAGCCCCTCCTGCCCAGGGCGCCGTTAAGTCCGGTAAACGGACCGCGAAGCGTCCCTGAGACAGGCCATCCGGAGAAGAGGAAACTTGCTCTTTCCCCGCTGGAGGGCGGGGCCCCGATAACAACGGTACTTTTCAGTGCCACCAAAACATCAGTAAAAGAGCACTTTTTCCCTTCCCCGGATGTGACTGCACGAGTTCTGCCAGTCCGGGACGCTCTGCCTTCCGGCTCGCAGACTCTACGTGCTTCGCCAGTGGCTCACGAGCGCTGGGGGGACGGTCTCCCTTCCCTCAGCCCTCCAGCCCCCTCTCCGGAGTCAGGGTGCGGAGCCAGAGCGAATCGCTCTCCTCCAGCTTTTCCGCGGGACCCTCGTGCTTCCCGGATCAGCACACCCACTCCGCGCTGCCCCACCGCTGGTACGTCAGCGATTGTAGCGATGACTCCATTAGCGAGGGCTCTGCCTGCCTGGTTAGCGCGGGCCAGCCCCTCGCGGTGGCTCATACGCACAATCAGACTCGGTTACGCGATTCAGTTCGCGAAACGGCCCCCCAAGTTTACGGGCGTGTATTTCTCCAGGGTCAACCCCCTGTCCGCCCCTGTCTTGCGAGAGGAGATTGCTGCCCTCCTGGCGAAGGGTGCAATCGAGCCGGTTCCTCCAGCCGAGATGGAGAGTGGGTTTTACAGCCCATACTTCATCGTACCCAAAAAGAGCGGTGGGTCACGGCCAATCCTAGATCTGCGCGTTTTGAACCGCTGTCTGCACAAGCTGCCGTTCAGAATGCTCACGCAGAGGCGCATTCTCCAATGCGTTCGTCCTCGGGATTGGTTTGCAGCCATAGACCTGAAGGACGCGTATTTCCATGTCTCCATTCTTCCACGCCACCGCCAATTTCTGCGGTTTGCGTTCGAGGGTCGAGCGTGGCAGTACAAGGTCCTCCCCTTCGGGCTCTCTCTGTCTCCGCGGGTCTTCACCAAACTCGCGGAGGGTGCCCTAGCGCCCCTTCGGCTCGCGGGCATTCGCATACTCAGTTATCTCGACGACTGGCTGATTTTAGCCCACTCGCGGGAGCAATTGATTATGCACAGGGACGAGGTGCTTCGGCATCTCCGCCTACTGGGGCTTCAGGTCAACCGAGAAAAGAGCAAACTCGCCCCCGTGCAGAGGATTTCTTTTCTCGGGATGGAGCTGGACTCGATCACCATGGTAGCGCACCTCTCCGAGGAACGCGCTCGCCTGTTGCTGAACTGTCTGAGGGAGCTCGACAGCAAACTAGTGGTCCCACTGAAGTTCTTTCAGAGGCTCCTGGGGCATATGGCATCCGCAGCCGCCGTCACGCCGCTCGGGTTGCTCCATATGAGACCACTTCAGCACTGGCTTCACGATCGGGTCCCCAGACGCGCATGGCACGCGGGCACACACCGGGTCTCGGTTACTGCGCTGTGTCGCCGCGCCCTCAGCCCTTGGAACGACCCCTCGTTCCTACAGGCCGGTGTGCCTCTAGGACAGGCGTCCAGCCATGTTGTTGTTTCAACAGACGCTTCCAACACGGGTTGGGGGGCCGTGTGTCGCGGGCATGCGGCTGCGGGCCTCTGGAAGGGTGCCCAGCTGCATTGGCATATCAATCCATATGCGCTCTCGCCGCATGTCTCAGCTCGCCCGCCGTCTGCTCCTCTGGAGTCACCCGCGGCTGAAATCGCTGCGCGCCATTCACGTCCCAGGCACGCTCAATCGTGCAGCCGATGCACTCTCACGACAGCTGTTACGCCCTGGAGAATGGAGACTCCACCCCGAGTCTGTTCAGCTGATATGGGCGCGATTCGGGGAGGCCCAGATCGATCTGTTTGCTTCCCCCGAGAACGCTCACTGCCAGTTGTTTTTTTCCCTGACCGAGGGCTCTCTCGGCACGGATGCACTGGCCCACAGCTGGCCTCGGGGCATGCGCAAGTATGCGTTTCCCCCAGTGAGCCTGCTCGCGCAGTTTCTGTGCAAGGTCAGGGAGGACGAGGAACAGGTTCTGCTAGTTGCGCCCCTTTGGCCCAACCGGACCTGGATATCAGAGCTCTCACTCCTCGCGACGGCCCTCCCCTGGCGGATCCCTTTGAGAGAGGACCTACTCTCTCAGGGACAGGGCACCATCTGGCACCCTCGCCCCGATCTTTGGAACCTCCACGTGTGGTCCCTAGACGCGAGGAAGACTTAGGTAACCTACCGACTGCAGTGGTTAATACCATCACTCAGGCTAGAGCCCCCTCCACGAGGCGCGCCTACGCCCTGAAGTGGAGTCTATTCACTGAATGGTGCGTCTCTCGCAGAGAAGACCCCCGAAATTGCCAGATTAGTGTTGTGCTCTCTTTCCTTCAAGAGAAGTTGGACAGCAGGCTGTCGCCCTCCACTCTCAAGGTTTACGTGGCCGCCATCTCCGCTTATCATAGCGCGGTAGCTGGCGGCACCGTGGGAAAGCATAACCTGGTCATCCAGTTCCTTAGGGGTGCTAGGCGAATTAATCCATCTCGCCCCCCTCTCATGCCCTCTTGGGATCTCGCCCTCGTTCTCACGAGTCTGCGATCCGATCCCTTTGAGCCACTCGAATCAGTATCTCTAAGATTTCTGTCCCTGAAGACAGCTCTGCTGGTTGCGTTGGCCTCCATCAAGAGGGTCGGGGACCTGGAGGCATTTTCGGTCAGTGACTCGTGCCTGGAATTCGGGCCGGATTACTCTCACGTTATCCTGAGACCCCGCCCCGGTTATGTGCCCAAGGTTCCTACCACCCCCTTTAGAGATCAGGTAGTGAACCTGCAAGCGCTGCCCCCGGAGGAGGCAGACCCAGCCCTTTCTTTACTTTGTCCAGTTCGCGCTCTGCGCATTTATGTGGACCGTACTCAGAATTTTAGATCATCTGAGCAGCTCTTTGTCTGTTATGGCGGTCGGCAGCAGGGAAGTGCCGTATCGAAACAAAGATTATCCCACTGGATTGTGGATGCCATTTCACTCGCTTATTCGAGTCGAGGTCAGCCGTGTCCCCCGGGAGTACGTGCACACTCCACTCGGAGCGTTGCATCCTCTTGGGCGCGTGCACGCGGCGCCTCTCTAACAGACATCTGTAGAGCTGCGGGCTGGGCGACACCCAACACATTTGCAAGGTTTTACAATCTGCGAGTGGAGCCGGTTTCCTCAAGGGTATTAGGTAACCCTTTGGTGATTGAGGAGACAACTCGGTAGGGTGTTGAAACACGCTTGCTGCGCCATTCTCCCTAACACGGAGGTACGTGCGCCTTTTTTATCTGTCAGTAAAGTTCCCCGTCAGGTGAGCCCTGCAGATTCCTCCGTGGCCCCCAGCACTGACTCAGCGGAGGAGTCACTTGCTGGCCCACTACGTTGTAGGTCTGCCCGCTGGTCAGCCCGCGTTTTGGGTATAGGTGCCTGCTATGCGTGATCCCCACTAGGCGATCCCATATGCTTATTCCGCCACGGTTAAGTCCCCCCCCTGGGCGGACCCGTGTCTTCCCTCTCCGCTAACCACTCTTTGCTATGCGTACTCCCCCTTTTTAGGGCTAGTCCATAGGTAAATTCTGCCATCTATCCCCCCCTTGGGTAACGGATGGCCTCCGCAGCGTCCTCCCTATCGGGATTGCACGCTTCCCAACGTACTGTCGTATTTCCTAGAATTATCTAGATGCTCACGACTTCCCAAAAAATATATCTAAATCCGTAAAACTTCTGTTGAAGTAGGATAAATTAGGGCCAGGGACACGTTGGAGGACCGCGCCCCCCATGATGTGGGTGCGTCACGCTTGCTTGACTATCTCCTCATCGGGGGTGTTGGTAAGGTGCAGTCATTATGGCGCTTTCCATATTCTCCCATTCATGGCACTGAAGTTCCCCAACCGAAGGGGAACGTTCGAGGTTACAGAAGTAACCCTTCGTTCCCCGAGGAGGGGAACGGAAGTGCCATATTCCGTCGCCATAATGACTGTCCCTTAGCTGTTTGAAAGTCTCTTCAGCTTAAAAGGATGGCGTCTGCTGGCTTCAGGTGTGCTTATATGCTGAGATAATTGCAGATGTCGCACACCTGCGCAAGCTTACGCTGCCAATTAATTTCATTCATTGGCCCGTTCAATACTCTCCAGATAAGCGGCTTCTGATCCGAATCCTCCCATTCATGGCACTTCCGTTCCCCTCCTCGGGGAACGAAGGGTTACTTCTGTAACCTCGAACGTTTTCTTTATTGTACCTGTTGAGTTTTATGTGTGTATATACATGTGTATGCTTGTGTGCAGGTATTCTGAAGAGCACGTGTTACATAGATGTGCGCTGGTTCCCATTTGATATCCAGAAATGTGACCTGAAATTTGGCTCGTGGACTCATAACGGCTGGCTGCTGGACCTCCAGATGCAGGCAGTGGACATCTCTACATACATCCCCAATGGAGAGTGGGATTTAGTGGGTAAGAATGCCTGGAAATGTATACAATAGTGAAAAAGTCAATAATGCTTGAATGTGATTCTGACCAGGTACAGAAATGTGCTGCAAATCCTTGTATTATGGGGTATTGCAGAGCCCTTCTGTATTTGCAGCTCGTTTTAGTATTTGGTTGTGTTGTGAGGATTTGCTGCCTATACGTTTTAAAAATTATTATGTTTTCTCACACTCCAAAAATAAATAAGATTAATGTATTCTGATTGCATATAAAATTTCTATTCATTTGAATCACACTTCTTCATAATTTAACTAATAAACATTATGTTATTGATATTTGTTAGTTAAACATAAGTTAAACAAATAAGAACAAGATTTACATAATTATGTCAATAATCTAGTGTGTTTAAAATGTTTTTATTAATTCATCTGTTCTGTGGAGTATGGAGCTGCATCAATTTTGCCCCCGAATAATAAGTAATAAACCAATCTCATAGAATTTAACTAAAACTAGCAATGTGCGCTGGCAGAATAAACATTTTCAATTTTAATTTCATGTTTTCTTTGAGTATATTTTTACTTTAAATAAAGGAAAACAGACTCATTCTGAAAACATAACCCTATATACATTTCTGGAGATCGCGAAAAATGTAGCCAGAGCTGCGTATGGCTGCATTTCCTCATTAAAACAATCGCAATGGGGTGGTATGATGCCGTTCCTTTTCGTGTTTACCAGCTGACCACTTACCTCCGTGTGGACGACTTTACCGCTGTTACTAGTTTGTCCGTTAGCTTGACACGTACATTGGCAGACTTGAGACACAGAACCAAAGTCCTTTTAAAGAACAGTTCCCAAAAAGCAGGTAAAACAAAATCAAAAGGCAATAAAGGCTACAAAAAATATAATAAACAAGTAAATAACAGGGTGAGAATGTGGTAAAATCTGAAAACCGAAAATCTAAATATCAGGCTGCTATATGGGCTTTTCTTTTTCTGGATAGCTTTTAAAAACACTGTCGGTTGGGTTTAGGGAAGAGGGGGGACGGGTCAATCGGTGCTTTTTAAAACATTATTGGTTGGGTTTTGGGAAAGGGGAGGGTGGGGGATGGGTCGGTTGGTCAGTCTGACAATTGACAGCACCCTTTTGTGGATTTACATGAGAACAGCATGCATGATTGGCACTCGCGAGAGAAATTTGAGATCTGAAAAAGCATACACAGCAACCTTTGACGAATTTGCGAAAACAAAAACTGCAAAAAATAAAAAATAAAAAAAATGCCGCACCTGGGATGTATTTTGCTCTCACTATAAATGTATATAGAGGTACGTAATCAGAATGAGCCCGGGTTAAAATAAAGACAATAACTTAAACTGTATATAAACAAAGCTCTTAGCTGTTTTTCCAAACAGTTTGAAACGATCAACTTTTGTCCTATGAAACTGATGCATTAAGGACTGAGTTTTAACTAAAAGAAATAATTTTATGAGGAGCCAAACACATCCCTTCTAACTTGTGACACACACATTCAATTCTTAATGGTATAAATCTTTCACACTTTTATACTTTCAAGTGTTTAATGTGTTATTGTGTGCTCGGTGTAGGCCATGTGTGTTTGAATGGTTTTCTTTGCCTGGAGGCACTCTATTGATCTATTGATCATTTCCTTGCTACAACTGTTTGATGGGAAAGTGTGTAAAAGTGATGTTGGCTCATCTGAATGCTAAGTGGATCATTTCTTCATTCCTGCTGGACTTTAGGGAACATAAACTTAACATGCGGTTCAGAAGGTCTTTGAAAGACACTCTTCTTTAATGTCCATACGCACAGGTGGAGAATAAAAAAAACTTGAAGAATGTCTTGACACTCTCGTGAGAGCATTTCTTGCTATTCGCATGGATTAAGACAGCGCAGAATGAATTTCAACATCCTGACAATGACAACAAAGTCATTCACTTTTCTGTGTGGTTTTATTTTATGACAGGATTAAATAACATTGAGCAAAACTATAATCATCCAACAAACACCACAGGACACATTGCACTATTATTAGAAATATTAATATTAGAAATGAATGCTTGTGTTGCGCAGCTTTATAATCTCATAATCTGATCGTGTTTGGCGGTTTAATGTCCCTGTTTCTGTCTCAGTCTAGCATTTTTACGCTTTCAATGCCAATGTGACCCCGGGTCTGTTCGACAGATGGGGTCCTGATGGTGGTTGGCAGTGCTTTGGCTTTGATTCTGGCTGGCACCAATGCCCAGTTGCGTGCCAAGGTTGTGCAGTGACATGGGCAGTCTGTGAATGGGCATCTTTAACACCGCAGGGAGCGACACATTACACACACACATACATTTCACACGCTGCTGAATATGACTGGTCACGCAATTGCAAAAAATGTAAACATGAACTCAAAAAAAGGTACATTTTCCTGTATTATTTTGAGTTGGGTTGAATACAGACAAACACAAAAATAAATAAATAAATAAATAAATAAATAAATAAAACAAGTACAGTTTATTCATTCATTCATTCATTCATTTTATTTTCGGCTTAGTCCCTTTATTAATCCAGGGTCACCACAGCGGAATGAACTGCCATTTTATCCAGCACTTGCTTTACGCAGCGGATGCCCTTCCAGCTGCAACCCATCACTGGGAAACATACATACACACTCATTCACACACATACACTACGGACAATTTATGGACTTATGGGGGAAACCGGAGCACCCGGAGGAAACCCACGCAAACACGAGGAGAACATGCTAACTCCACACAGAAATGCCAACTGACCCAGCCGAGGCTCAAACCAGGGTCTTTCTTGCTCTGAGGCGAACGTGCTACCCACTGCGCCACCGGGTCGCCAAGTACAACTTATGACAGCTTTTAACCCTTTTTTTAATGTATGGGCTGAATTTAATCAAACAAATTCAATTTAGTGTTCAAGTAAATTTGTTTGTTTAAATTCAGCTCACATAAATTGTTTTAATACAAAAATGTATTAAATCCAATGAATCATTTAATTCATAGTTTATACATATTTTAGAATTTATATTATTAATATATTTATTGACCACTTTAATTACGAATGATTGTTAACATTGCTTTTATATGAGCTAAATAACAATTTTTACATTCTTTTTATTCAAATTTAACGAATGCTTGTTGAAAAGGTGTTTTCAGCTGCTTTAGTAATAGATATGAGAGGAGCAGTGCATTTTTTTTTTTTTTGCCTTCCTTTGAACTTTTAAAAACGTCTGACTCTGACTACTAAGTCATTTGACTTCAAACTGAGCTATGAAAACTAGTGATGAAAAGTACTTGCAGTTGTGTCATTGGGATTTGTTGTTGATACACAAATGCATAAGGGATTTACATATTAAATAAATAAAAAAATACAATGTGTCATGAGGTTTAAGCTTCCATGTTTGTAAATTGTTAATTTCTAAACTTCCATGTTTATTCATTATTAATAATAAAGAAGATATATATATATATATATATAATAAACCGCCAACTTATCTAGCTCATTTTTACGCAGCGGATGCCCTCCCTACCACTACCTACTGTGCACCGCTTCGCCATATTTTAATAATTTATTCCATTGATTTTAATAATGAATTTTCAGCTTCATTACTACAGGCTTCAGTCACATGATTCAGAACTCACTCTAATATTAACTAATATTATTATTAATAATATTTTTATTAATGGTAATAGTAATAAAAGCAATAATGACTGAAGAACGATTTCAATAGAAACTACATATAATACAAAAGCAGTTATTAAAAATTGTAATATATATATATATATATATATATATATATATATATATATATATATATATATATATATATATACACACACACACACACACACACAGTGCATCTGGAAAGTATTTATAGCTCTTTACTTTTCAGCTTTTTTTTTTTTGTGTGTGTGTCACAGCCTTATTCCAGAATGGACTAAATTAATTGATTTCCTCAAAATTCTACCCACAATAGCCCATAATGACAATGTGAAAAAAAGTTTTTTTTTTTTTAATTGTTGCAAATAAAAGTTAAGAACCTAAAAAAAAAAAATTGTGCATAAGTATTCACAGCCTTTGATTAATTCTTTGTTGATGAACCTTTGACAGCAATTACAGCCTCAAGTATTTTTGAATATGATGACGCAAGCTTGGCACACCAGTTTTTGGGAATTTTTGCCCATTCCTCTTTGTAGTACCTCAAGCTCTATCAGGTTGGATGGCAAGTGACGATTTACAGCCATTTTCAGATCCCTCCAGAGATGTTCAATAGGATTTAGGTCTGAACTCTGGTTGGGTCACATTCACAAGATGTTATTGTGAAGCCACTCCATTGATATTTTGGTGGTGTTCTTTGGGTCATTGTCTTGCTGGAAGATGAAGCGTCGCCCCTGTCTGAGGTCAAGAGCACTCTGAAGCAAGTTTTCATTTAGGATCTCTCTACATTGCTGCATTCATCTTTCCCTCTATCCTGACTAGTCTTCCAGTTCCTGCTGCTGAAAAACATCTCCACAGCATGATGCTGCTACCACCATGCTTCACTGTATGGATAGTTTTAGCCTGGTGATGAGGGATGCCTGGTTTTCTTCAAAGATAACACCTGGCATTCACTCCAAAGAGTTCAATTTTAGTCTCATCAGACCAGAGATTTTTGTTTCTTATGGTCTGAAAGTCCTTTAGATGCCTTTTGGCAAATTACAGGTGGTGAGTGGCTTCCGTCTGGTCACTTTACCATACAGGCCTGATTTGTGAATTGCTGCACAGATGGTTGTCCTTCTGTAAGGATCTTCTCTCTCCACAGAACATACAGTTAAAGTCAGAATTATTATTCCCCCTGAATCATAAGACCGCTTGTTTTTTTTTCCCACCCAATTTCTTTTTAATGGAGAGGAGACTTTTTTAGCACATGTCTAAATATAATAGTGTATTAACTCATTGTTGTTAAAATTGTATTGTAATTATAGTTAAAAAAATGTTTTGTTTGAAGTATTTTGTGTAAAAAAAGTGACATTTATTACACGCATATTAGGTGGATTTTGACCACCAATTTCTGATATGTAACATAAATTGTTCTGTACTTTTCTGTGCTCTATTATATTGTTTTTCATGTTTGTCCATTCCTCTGACAAATTTGCATGATTGTATCATGAGTTTCCTCCCACCTCAAACACACACTCTCACACACATATACAGCACAAAACCCAGTCGGTCTTTTGTAATCAGTTAAATGTCTCAAACCAGTAATTTCCTTTCCTGATGTGATTGTCTCTGAGTGCCATGACAATTCTGACCAGCGTGAAATCCTGATGAAAGCTTTTTCTCCGCCTGCCCAGTTTGATTAATTACAATTTTGATTTAATTTTTAATCAATCGGAGAGGAGGGCTGCCTGACCCTGACAGATCAACACTGTCACATTTGCAACATGTCATGTTATTGTTTCCTTTTACTAATGCAACCAGCAGAAATGATGTAATGTTCATGCATTTTAAAGTGTGGATTGCATTTTTTACATTATAGCTGACATTACTGTGTTTCATATCAAAACACTTGGCTTGGGCTTTTGTTGAAATATTGAATTGCATTCATACTTTGGACAGGGTTTTAGGATTAAGTGGATTACATTGGAAAAAAAAGGGAATGGAAAACAAATATTTGTTTTGTGCACACGCACAAAGGAAGGACAAGAAGCAGAGTAAATAATGGCTGATTCTTGTGTTTACTTTAGGTTTAATAACAGCAAAAACTATTTTTAGAGGTTATGCACTGTACAGGTCACAAAAACCCTGTCTGTGATTTGGTCCTGTCACAAATAAGCTCTTCTTGGCCGACAGCCTCTATTTTCATCTCAGCTGTGTTGTGAATGGGTCACTCACTTAGATTTTCCTTGAACCACTCTGCTGACTCATTTAATAATGATAATATAATATATCATAATATGCTTTTGAAATCAAATTAAATATTGTTCTTCTGTGTTTAAAAGAATGATAGTCACCTGTTAAGTTTTGGTCTCAAAAATGTTCACTTTAAAATTCTTACGTTTTGTTATTTTTTTGTGTGTAAAATCATTCATTCATTCATTTGGCTTAGTCCCTATATTCATCAGGGGCCGCCACAGCGGAATGAACCACCAACTTTTTACACAGCAGATGGCCTTCCAGCTGCAACCCAGTACTGGGAAACATTCATGCTATAACATTTACCTATAGCACATGTCTGGTTTGTGGCACTTTAGACTACATTCAAAATACATAAATATTAAAATAATTAATTCAAAAATGGTGATTTACTAATAAAGATTACTGCCTATTTGACAACTATCTTTTGGCTTATTCCCTGAATTGTCAGTTGTCGCCACAGCAGAATGATCCACTAATTACTCTGGCATATGTTTTATCCATCAGATGCTCTTCCAGTTACAACACAGCACTGGGAATCACTTATACACGTTTTCATTCCCCTGGGAAACACCCCTAAACACTTACATTCACACACATACACTCTGACCAATTTAGTTTATTTAATTCACCTATAGCGCATGTCTTTGGACTGTGGGGGAAACCGGAGCACCTAGAGCAGGGGTGGCTAGAAGGGCATCTGCTGTATAAAACATATGTTCAATAAGTTAGCGTTTTATTCCGCTGTGATGTTGAATAAAGGGAAAAGAAAATGAATGAATGAATAAATGATAATTGTTAAGACACACACACAAAAGGTGACATATAAAGGCCTCATCAGTTCTTTATGTCATTAAATCACTTACTAATGCAGCTAGTTGTTTTTAATGTGGGTCAAAGTTAAAATCCCTGAACATTCCAAAATACTGTTTGGCATATCATAAAGAAAAATGATCATATTATATCATATAATAGTAGTAATAATAATAATATAAAACATTCTAAAAGTAGGAAAAACACTGTTTAATTGTATCTTGCAATGATATTTCTTTTCAGGTAAAGCTGTTCTATAATGATACACATTCTCATTGTAATAACTCAAAATAATGACTGACACTTTAAAATAGTCTGTGAATAAAGACTGTAATAAACACTTTTAAATAAAGACAATAAAGCTTCACATTTTATGAGACATTTTGTCACAATAATGACTCTGCATTAGAGTGAAAGATATTGCCACTAAATAACCACTAATACATGTTTAGTCATTATTATGAGAATGTTTAGCATTTTTATGAGATGTTTTTTATCAATATGATAAGGTTTGTCGCTATTATGACCTATAAGAGCAATTTACACCACACCGACAGATGGCAACAAACGAGGACAATCACTGGAATACTTTTACAACTTTTCTTATTCTACAACCTGAAAAGTGTAGATTCAGCATGTTCAGAGGGCAAAATAATTAATAAATAAATAAATCCAACAGATGCCAACAAAAACAACACACTCTTCTGAGAAAACCTGAAAAAGTGTTTGTTGCTGCCTGGTCTTTACAGAATCACATTTTACTTAAGTAATGCTTTTAAAGCAAACCCCTAACTAATTTAAAACTAACAGATACTGATTTGTGACAGAAATATGCAGTAAGCAAAGTGTGCTTAAAACAAGCCGATTTTCAAATTGATGCATTCTGTGTTAAACAATATCTAATATTTCTAACAACACAAACACTAGGTTGCTACATAAAAAGTAATAGGACACCAGAGTCTAGTGTATTTGTGGAAAAGGCTTGCTGTTTTATGACATAACCCAAATGTGTTGTTTTGTCTTGCGTCAGGGGTCCCTGGGAAGCGTAATGAGCTGTATTATGAGTGCTGTAAGGAGCCCTACCCTGACGTGACATTTACAGTAACAATGCGCAGGCGAACATTGTACTATGGTCTGAACCTGCTCATTCCCTGTGTGCTCATCTCCGGCCTGGCGCTGCTTGTCTTCCTGCTGCCAGCCGATTCTGGAGAGAAAATTTCATTAGGTAAGATCAACATCACATACAGTAAAGTACAGCTTTCTCTTTTTGGGAGAATTGGGAAAATTCATATTTTATACTTGATACTTTTATTTTAACTCTTTGGAACACAATAAGCTTACAATGAACTTTTTTTTGAAAAACACAAAGGTAATACTTTACCTGTAGGGGTGTTTACTTGATGTCGGAGTTTGTTACCATTAGAAAATAAACAAATCACTCTGCTCAGATGTTCCACGATCCAACAAACTCTGGTTGAACATGTTCAGTCAGGTGAAAACAAACTCTTATCAAAGACAGCAGATGCCAACAGGGGTAACACACTGATCCAACAAACTCCAACAGAGACTTCGTTGGTGTTCATCTGTGCGGTGTCAATTGGCCTTTACTTGAACGAGTGTTCATAAGTGTCATGACACCTTTATAATCATGATATGACACATGTCATGAATATAAATGAGACTGTATGCGTGATTCTGACAACTGCCATTAAGTGTCAGTTGCTCAGTTATGTAGTTTTAAATGCAAAGGTGATGTTGTTTCAGTTGTCTTTGTTATGACAACTTGACATTAACATTTCTTATTAAAAGTGTCAATACTTTTGCCAAAATAAAAATAATCTCCTTGTTATAAAAATTCATGGGCTCATGAAAGTACTGTTTATGTCAGATTTATGACAACTTATGGGATCTTGATAATGTCAAGTCGCCATAACATTGAGATTTGACAGGTTTTGTTGTCTTGCTTACAAAGACAAATTGTGATGGATATGTCAAGTAGTCTCAAAACATCTTAAACAATGTAACTTTGCTAATAAAATGACATAACTGAGCAAAAAACTCTTAATAACAGTTGTCATAAGCATGAATAAAAATCTCATTCTCATTTATATTCATGATGTGTCATGCCACAATTATAAAGTATAATGACAGTCATATGGACACCCTTTCAAGTAAAGGCCAATTCACACCGTATAGACAAACAGCAACAAACAAGTCTGTTAGAAGTTATTCAGTCAGCATTTGTTGGATTGTGCAACGTCTGAGCAGTGTGATATGATTATAGAAGCAAACTCAATCTTAATCAGACTTAAACTGACCCAGGACGAGAAAGGTTTTAAATGTCTTTTTTGCCTCTTTAAAAATGATCATTTGATTGATTAGTTAATTGTTGTGTATGATTATCTGTGATTATCTACATACAACATTCGAAATACAATGACCAAATTGTTGTTGTTTGTTGACATTTGTGAGTTGGCCTTAAGTGTTAGAAAAAAAAAACTGTTTAAAAAAATGTGTCTGCTACAGTAGACATCAGGATGTTGTACGTGTAAAGCTGAACCATGATGACAAAAAAAATTTCCAAACTTTCCATTTTGTTTGAGAAGGAACAGAATGTTCACACAGCCCCATCACTATAAACTATGGTATCATATAAAAGCGCAAAATGTCCTCTTTAGACAACAAATGGAGGTAATTTCATAGTTTGCATAAGCTGGGAGATATTGAAGTTTACATATGTTATGTCCTCAGGAAAAGAAATTAAACTTTCAACTTTGAACTGCTGGTAGTCTGAAAAAATATTGAGGCCCGTAGCAAGAGGGGGTTTGGGTGGTGGACAATCTCACCTGCCACTAAAAAAGGTCCAGAATCTGTCTCATAAATGAGCCAATATTATGCCATCATGAAGTGAAAATAACCCATTAAAGAGGTCTTCGCGTCCAAGCGCAATCCTCTGTTGCCTGTCGTTCGTGACTTCAGCTAATCAGCTTTGGCCAATGCAAACAATTATTTTTCACGAGTCCAACATCCAGCTGTGCAAAAAATCATACAACATACATTTTTTTCATTTTTTATTATTCAAAAAGCCAGATTCTGACTGAAGAAAGTGACTGAGGTGCCGGCCAATTTGTTTGTAACTATCAGATTCCTCATTCATATTCATGTTCTAATGATACAATTGAAGTCAGAATTATTAGCCCACAAATTATGTTAGATGGAGCAAGGAAATGTTCACAGTATGTCTGATAATATTTTTCTTCTGGAGAAAGTCTTATTTGTTTAATTTCGGCTTGAATAAAAGAAGTTTTACATTTTTTAAAACCATTTTAAGGTCAAAATTATTAGCCCCTTTAAGCATTTTTTTTCGATAGCCTACAGAACAAAACCATTATTATACAATAACTAATAATTACCCTAACCAGCCTAGTTACCCTAATTAACCTAGTTAAGCCTTTAAATGTTACTTTAAGCTGTATAGAAGTGTCTTGAAAAATATCTAGTAAAATATTATTTACTGCCATCATGGCAAAGATAAAAAAAAAAGTCATTAGAAATGAGTTATTAAAACTATTATGTTTAGAAATGTGATGAAAAAATCTTCTCTCTGTTATGCAGAAATTCGGGAAAAAATAAACAGAGGGTCTAATAATACTGACTTCAACTGTATATGATGGTAAATTTTTATTTTTAAGTAAAGTAATTTTTTTTTTCTTTATTCAAAATATTTAGGCAATCTTTTTGGTACATCAAAAAGTGATGACAACCATTCGACAAGATAATCAGCAAAACATAAAATAAAATTGTACTTAAAATGTCACTATAAATGCTGAATTTTAAGCTAATTTTAAGCATAAAAAAAGAAAATAAGGTGAATAACTGCGAAATGGTTCACTTTTTGAAAAAAAAGAACCAACCCTTTTACCAGGCTGGCTGCAATCCTGGTATATGTACAGTAATTAGACATGAAGGAATGTCATTAATTTGATTTACTCCTACCTTTTCCATTCGTCAGGTATCACTGTTCTTCTATCATTGACGGTCTTCATGTTGCTGGTGGCCGAAATCATGCCAGCAACCTCTGATTCTGTTCCTCTCATAGGTGAGTAGAGTGCAGCGTCCAGATTGCTCAGTTTTCAGAGAATATGTCCAAGAATCTGAATATTGAATCTCATGAAAAACTTCTTGGCTGTGGATGTTTTCGATGGCTTGCTGGGTTTAAGTGTTGTGTCTTCTTTGGCTCTGCAGCTCAGTACTTTGCCAGCACCATGATGATCGTGGGCTTGTCGGTTGTTGTCACCGTTCTTGTTCTGCAGTTTCATCATCATGATCCACAAGGGGGAAAGATGCCAAGATGGGTGAGCTGAAACTCTTTAAATGAAACAGACTGTTTAATATGAAGATTAAAAAAAAGATACTTGATGGACTGTGACCTCAGAACAAGGTTATTGCTGTTCACTCAAAATCATATCTCAAAGATTACTCAAGTGGTTCTATTTGAGCTTGTTTCCTATGTTAAACACACAAAACAAGATATTCAGAAAAATTAAGAACCTTTTGATTTTAAACTAAAACAAATAAATATTGTTGACATTTTAAGTGAAGTTTATTCATAAACTAATTTCGAGAGGATCACGTGCTTATGATTTATCACGTCCAGTCTCGCATTTGCTAATCACTAATCTTCCAATCATATGAGCCCTAAGGCACCATAAATAGCCTAAGTTTTCAGTTCACTTTATCTTCGTTTGGAAGAAACCCCCCTCCTCCCCTATTCTCCTCCTTTACCTGCGATTGGGCGGCACGGCGGTCCAGTGGTTAGCACTGCGAACCACACAGCAAGAATACTGCCGGTCCTAGTTCGATAGGACCGGTGAGTGTTTCTGTGGGGAGTCTGTATGTCCTTCCCGTGTCCGCGTGGGTTTTCCCCGGGTTCTCCGGTTTCCTCCCACCATCCAAAGACATTCAACATACTTAACAATCAAGCTTGTCTAATTCCTTACGTTCCCTTAGCTACAGCGGCAGGGGAGTTCTGAGATCCACCGAGCTCAGGCTCCCTTCTTGCTCTGCCAACGGGAGGAAGCCCCGGGCTCGAGGAGCCCTTGAGCTCGGGGCTCTCTCCCGGGACAGCATGCCAAATAAGCTTTGTAAATCATCAGCTAAGTGTGAACTCTTGAAATATCTTTATAAACAAATTATTATTAGTTTTGGACTTCAAATGATGGTTTAAATATAGCCCTGTTGTATTTATTTCATTATTAGTTAAGGAGCTATTAGATATATGTTAATTTAATCTGGAATTAAGGTTAATTCTTCTGTTTCTAGGTCAGGCTGCTTTACAGGCTACCAAATAACACCGTTTTGCTCTGCACTGCATGCATTTAAATTGTTTTTTTCTATGTAAACATGAGTTAGACTGACATCTTGACTGCCACCTTGTCATTTTGTGCATGATGTTTTATAGAAGCTGTCTAGTGCAGACATTAAACTTTAAAAACACATTTTGAGAGACGCGTTGTCAATATTCAACTCCACACTGTGGACATTAAGAAGCACAATGCAAAGCAGTTTCTGTTGTACCTCAGGTGTGCATTATATTTCGAATAATCCAATGAACCAGAGTCAGTTATTCCCAGTTATCCCACCTAAAGACAAATACTGTAATTTAAGACATTTGTCAAGTATGTGAGACATCTCCTGTGTGTAGTACTACAGTAGTTTCTTAAGTCATCTTTACACAGCCCTATATACAGTTGAAGTCAGAATTATTAGCCCCCCTTTGATTTTCTTTTTTAAATATTTCTCAAATGATGATTAACAGAGCAAGGACATTTTCACAGTATGTCTGATAATGTTTTTTTTCTTCTGGAGAAAGTCTTGTTTGTTTTATTTTAGCTAGAGTAAAAGCAGTTTTTAATTTTTTATTAACCATTTTAGGACAAAATTATTAGACCCTTTAACCTATATTTATTTTCAACAGTCTACTGAACAAACCATCGTTATACAATAACTTGCCTAATTACCCTAACCTGCCTAGTTAACTTAATTAAGCCTTTAAATGTCACTTTAATCTATATAGAAATGTCTTGAAAAACATCTAGTAAAATATTATTTACTGACATCATGGCAAAGATAAAATAAATCAGTTATTAGAAATGAGTTATTAAAACCATTTTTCTCTTCGTTAAACAGAAATTGGGAAAAAAAACAGGGGGCTAATAATTCTGACTTCAACTGCACATGTCTATGTCTGCTCAGAATTCAGAGTAAAGACGCTATGCCTCATTAAACAGTCTGTGTTAATGAATCATTTTGAGGTGTAATGCCATTTTCCTTTGCTGTTTAAAGATGCCCTAACTCGTCAAATCCAAAGCCTGTTGTTTTGATTTGATTTGATTTTTGAGAGTTGTAGGCTGTGAACTGAATCATTCAGCGTAGTAATATGGAACTGTAATGTGGTCAAGACGTGTCTGAAATTTCTTGAGCTGTGTGTTTTCCTGACAGTAATTGCACACCTTTTGTGTTTTAATCAGTCAGTTCAATCAGAATCAAGCATGATTCTGTTATAACAGCCCTGCCGTAATACAGTATGTCATTTTACACTGGAAACGAGGAACAGAAGTGCTTCTGAAGGAGCATTTATAGTACGTGTCTTTACACAGATTGTTTAACAGTGCTCAGGTGTGGCATGAATGCATTTACACAGCAGTAACAAATGTATACTATGATTTTAGGAGTATGATTTTTTTTCACTTAATTTTCAGCAGGCACAAAGAAACCTCTTAATTATTGTGTCTGGCTTGCTGAAGTTTGTTATTTAAAATGTAAGTACAAGACAATCTTGTGCAAATAAAGTGCAATGTGGCCACGATGCACAGCTAAATTGAAATAATCTTCACAATTTTCAGAACGCTGCAAATAAACAGCATGTCATATGACATTACCCAACCAATCAGCTTTATCCTTTCTATGTATATACACATTTCAGTTATAATAGTAGACTAATTAATTAAAACTCCATATATAAAACTTGTATCCAAGCTACTCCAAGGTTTTGTGAGTGGTGGTTCCTTGGAGTATGCAAGAGTGTGAGGCATGAGAGTGCTATCTCCTGAGCACATTCAATGGAGAAAGTGGCATATTTCACAATGCAATGTCAACAGCCCCTTAAATGCTCCTCCAAAAAAAGGAAATAAAGGTGAAGCTGATTGGTTGGTTCTTGTAACGTGTGTTGTGCTTGCAACATTCTGAAAGGTTGAGATGTTTTCAACTAACTGCATTATAGGCACATATGGACAAAGAGTGTGCATTGCATTTACATTTTTAATAATAAACTTGAGCACACAAATATGAGAATAACCTTTTACAGCAACTCAGACCCCTTACAGATGACTCAGACATAGAGGGCTCTATTTTAACAATGCCCCAGCGCATAGTCTAACAGGGTTGTGCCTATTCTCTTAATGAGTTATGAGTTTGTTTTAAGAATAACGTGCGTTAAACCAGTCTGAGTCTCATCTCCTTTTTTAAAGGTCAGTTGCGTGGCTAAGGGATTTGCTATTTACATGGTGGACTTTGTAAGTGGAAAAACTGAATGCTTTACTTTTGTGCAGTTAAAAACAGTTAAACCGACTATCTGCAGCATGAGGATAAAGAATGAGCCTCCTCCAATCGGCCTCTTTACTTTCTCTTTACTTTACTTTTACTCTACTCCTTTACGTTCTTGTATAAGGGAACAGTGTTGTACGCACTCTCCTGAAGACATCCATTAGCCTACATATAATAAATAATACTGTTAATAGTATACAAATGCAAATTTTGTCATGAATAAACTGAAAAAGGCCCCCCAGACATAAAGGCATGGAGGCAGGGAATTTTATATTTACATTTTGTAGCATTTTATTCTTAATTTTTTTTTTCAAAAGTAAAGATATTTGTGTATTGCTGTACATCCTGTGTGTATTAAGCAATGTGTAAGCTTGGACCCACATAGGCAAATAACTAACACGCTCTGTGCTGGAGTTTAGACCAGCTTTTAGTTGGTCAATGAGTTCCTCAAAATAGCAACATGCCAGTAATGCACAATTCAGATTTTTTTTATTATAATGTGTTAAAAAGTGTCATTTTGTGGGTGTATACACAGGTCAGTGTTTTAGAGGTGTGCTGCTTCAAATTAAAATTAGTTTCAACTTCCCCCCCAACTTAACAAGGAGGCAGAGCCAGAAGCTCCCCTGCTTTGTGTATGTCATCAGACAGGCAGACAAAGAGAAAAGCAACATGAGTGAGAGGACCAGCATTCAGCCGTAGATGTACTCAGACACAGACCAAGCAGAGACTACTCTTGAGGAATCAATATTCCTAGTGTGCCAGAATGTGTCAGAATGGTAGTTACAGAATCATTTGTGTCTTTTTATAGTTTTACAGCTGCAACAATGCATGCGTCTTCTGTATTGGGATGTAATGATTAACTGGTTTCACTATTAACCATGCTTTAATTTGTCACAATTAATTAATTATAAAGGCTTCTTAACACGGTGTTTCTGCAAGGAACAAAACGGCGGCAACTAAACAAAGTTATGCCAACTGTGTGCTAGTTTAAAGTTCAGATCTTGTACACCGATACTAATAACCACGCACACTGCATTAACTTTGACTGAGGCTATGACTAAGGCAAGTTTGTTATTTCCAATGGAGGGGCGCGCATGTGAGGCAACTCGCTCAAGCTTTACAGCCGCACATAGTTGAGATGAGAGGGAGCTTCTGTGGCCGCGGGAAATGCAAACAGCTAAAGTTTAAGAAAGACGCAATGAAAAGTACACTTTTGCGAACCTACCTAAAGTTACAAATAATGGCGCAGATGAGAGCGATCATTTGGTGAATGTTGATCCACCAGCCGAGATCAATCCAGTGTTTTCGGAGAGAGTGCTGAAAGACTCAGTGGATCAGCTGTTTTTAATGGCCCGAATCTCAATACGTTGCATTCACTGCATGCTGCAGTGTGAACGCACTTCTACGTCAACTTGCGGTTGGCTCAAAACCGATCCCAATGGTCCACCGTTTTTATGTTGGTAAATTGAAAAAAATGACTGGGTGTGTTTATATCACCCCAATATGACAGTCTATACACTATACCTACACATGTCTGTCCAAAGATTTTTCACCATAGATGCCCTTTAAATCACACAGGCTTTCTGCAACTAGTCATCAGCAAGTAATCAACAACTTTAGACTGCAAATTGTGACAAAAAAAAAAAAAAAAAAAAAAAAACATTTTACATTTCACTTGACGTGTAGCACACTATACAGACTTTTTCATAAAACATTCAGAACAATACAAACTATAAGGGATGATGTAATGTTTACTTATAAAACTGATTCCATCCACAAAAAATCCATCTTTAAAAAACTGCTGCTGAAAACATTCTAAGAAAACACTCTGAATAAACAATAGGTTTGAGTTGTAGAATGACTGCAGTGCAGTTGGCCCACTGGAGAGGTAATCAGGTCTATTTGCATCAAACATTAATGTCTACTCATACGAGAAGAAAAGAGCTCTTAGCTACTTCTGTCTGGTGTTTCTTATTTGGTTCATGTCCAGTGGGACGCACCTGCTGCTAGGAGCTCAGAATTTTTAAACCTAGGAATCTTTAGTGGACATTTTCTCCGGTAATTGAATGAAACAAACTGACTTTATACAGCATATCAGTACTATCATCAAATGTATTGGTAATCCATTAGAGAGCTTTATCTTCAGTAAATTCTCCTTGTTCTTCTTAGGTGCGTGTGATTCTGCTCAACTGGTGTGCCTGGTTCTTGCGCATGAAGAAACCAGGTGAGGAACGTAAAGCCAACTTCAAATATGACCAGTCTCCTGCACACCATGCTAGTGCCAGCAGTATTCAGATGGGGGTCATGCCTGGTCAACCTTCCTCCACCAACTCCACCACAAATGGCCATATGAACCTGTACTTTGGCTACCACTCCATTGACAGCGCCTGTTGTCCACCCAGCAGTGACTCCGGCGTGTCTTGCAGCGGTGGACGAGTTGGTGGATCACCAAACGAAGAACAGCGAGAGGGAGTGAGGATGTTTGCAGGTGAACCAGAGATCCATCGCATCCTGGCGGAAGTGATGTACATCGCTCAGCGATTCCGTGACCAGGATGAAGCCGAAGCCATTTGCAGCGAGTGGAAATTTGCTGCGGCAGTCGTGGATCGGCTCTGTCTGGTGGCATTTTCACTCTTCTCTATCATCTGCACTTTTACCATTCTCATGTCCGCACCAAATTTCATCGAGGCAGTTTCAAAAGACTTTACATAATTGTGATAGGAGCACATTGGGGGCTTTCTGGTTGTTTTTAAAGTTATTAAAATAAACACGTGATTGAGTGTGAGAAGTGTCTACCGCCAAAGTTGAATCCTTCCTCTACTCATCGTTCTCAAATCCACGAGAACTGTTGTTACAAATAATTCATATAAAAAAAAAAGAAACTAATAAACAAAAATTGTGTATTTTTGAAATGTGACTTTTCGAACAAACGTGCAGACCCTTGGACATGCTGTTTGGGTGATATTTTATGTCTTTATATACTGTATCTGGACCGAGCATTGAGAGTTGGTTTATTTGAAGATGTGCTCTGTGTGCTAACTTTGTTAGTCACAACAGCTACAAATGTGTCTGTGAAGTTTGTGTTCTGAAAAACAAACATAATGAATTCCCAAATCCCTTTAAAGCGTAAACGTTTTCTTTAGTAATATTTTTGGCACCATTTAACATTATTTTAGTACGAACATTTTTACTGAACCAACAAACAAATCCTTACATTTTTAACAAATATTTCCTTACCAAAGCAACAATAGCATTAAAGGTTGAATTAATACACTCTGTTACTGTCACTTTCATTTTTTTGAAGTGTTCTATTAATATTACAGTTATTAGTGTGTTCTAATCTCTCACTTGTGTCCGGTTTGTCCACGTAAATCAGAGTGTCATTATTTTGTGACCATACTGACCCTGTGCTTTGTTGTATTATGTAAAAATACTATGTAAACAGTGTGGATATAAGTCATTTTGTTAGAAAATATAGATAAAAAAAATAAATAAAACAATTTAAAGTTTTGGGTGAGTCTATGTATTTTGGAGTAGTTGGCGTTTATTTATTATAGCTCTTTATTTAACCTTTTAAAACAGCATTTTTACTTACCTTGCTATTTATTTTGAAATATGTTGTGGCTTGGTGAAAGAAAAATCAAAACTACAGTTCATTTTGTTTTTAAATGCATTTTTAATGGGTTTTTTTTTAAGATGTAAATGTTTTTTTATGTTCAAAAAATGAATAGCTTTTTTGAGAAAGGATCTAAAATTGAACTGGAGAGGTAAAGCTTTGCTTATTCATTGAGTTGGCAGAGCAGTGCAGAGGCTTTTGAGATCCAGTAGTCACTGGGCTGGTTGGATGGCAACATCACAGTTACCACAAAATTGGTGGAGTGTCCTAATAGACAGAAAAAAAAAAAAAAAAACACAATAAAATGACATTTTTATGATTTTTATATTCATGTATAAAAGGCAATTCATATTTATTCGATTCAATTCATCTTTATTTCTATAGCGCTTTTACATAGATTGTATCAAAGCAGCTTCACATAGTAGATCAGTTTTCAGTGTTAAAATTCAGTTTAGTTCAGTTCAGTGTGGTTTAAGGTCTGCTGAGAGTTCAAATACATTAGTGATGCTAATGTATCTAATCGATCGTCTAGAAATATGTATCAACCAATAGTCACATTTTGTAAACTCAATTGGTACTCTGCAATCTGGCCAATCTCATGAACTGATTGTGTTTGTTTATGATTTTACAACGGTTTACACACTGAGGGGATACACTTGCGCACCCAGCAGCGCTAAAAAACGTGAGAAAAGAAATGATGTGTGTGGCGTGAGCGATGGTTGTCCTCCCAACACAGCAGCTAAAAGATATACAGATGTGGTGTGACCTCTTTTTAAACAGTTTATTGGTACATCTACATTTTAAACATTACAGGTTAAATTAGATCCAACTTTTTGTAATATACAAAATAAAAATTAGTAAAGAAGTCATAGTTATAGGTGTGCATTTTAACTTTCCCATCTTTTTCTTCAGTGAGACATGTTAAAGAGCCCATATTATACATGAAATAAGGTCATATCTTGGTTGTAAGGGTCTCCAACAACAGTCTAATATGCATGCAAGGTCAAAAAACACTTTCATGGTCTTATAATCTGCATTTATTTTTATCTAATTATCCCAGCGACTCCTGTATGAATCGTCCAGTGATTCATTTGTTCCCAAACCCCTCCTTAGCGCGGAGCTAATCTGCGCTGATTGGACCGATGACAGTCTGTCGCGATTGGTCGACTGCCTTCAGTCAGAGAGGGAAATGGCCAATAGCTAATCAGCAATTTAAAAAGTAATCACAGTTCATACACGCTCGATAGTGTAGGCGTGGACTTTAGCTGCCACACTATGGCGAGTGGATAGTGCCACGGATAACCGAACGAAGGAGACAGTCGTGTACTCGCCATACCACACACACACAAAAACACACACACACCTCCGGATGACAACGCTCCCGCTTCAGCCCGCACCCGCCAGGTTTTAGCCTGAGAACCCGCTCCGTTTTCTGCCCGCCGCGCCCGGTCCCGCTAGAGCGGAGAACACAACCAAATATCACCCAGTATACAGTTCAGACAGCCAAGCTGTCTGTACACACACAGCACAAAGTACACAGAGCTCGTTCGTTCGTTCGCTCTCTCTCTCGCGCTCTCTCTCTCTCTCTCTCTCTCCCCGCGCCAGATTTCTGCGGCGCGGGAATACATTTCCGAATAAATCGCGGGAGCAGAACTCTAGCACGGAGCTCCATAAACAAACAGCACGCGTCGCGTTTTTAACGTGACTTTGCACGCGATAAGATAATATATCCAGTTAACCTGATACAGTACACGCGGTTACAAGTAACAAATCACAACTAAATACATTTGCAAGCTAGAGTAAACGAGGCAACAACTTTAACCGCACGTACTTACACTTGAGAAATGTAGGAAGAAACCCATCCTGACGTCCATCAGTTACTCTTTACTGATCCTTCCTTTAACAAACTCAGATGAAGTATTCTTTGTAGCATGTAGCTTCCAGAAGTTTCCAACTGCTTGGTTATAATGCTGATGTTTCATCTTTGGGTAGAGACTCAATATATCCATCTGCAGTGTGACTTCAATCGACCGGCATGTTTGTGTGCGTGTGTTTGTGGGTGTGCGTGTGTTTGTGGGTGTGTGTGTGTGTGTGTCTGGGTTACTGCGTCAGAGGGCGGGGCCTCAGGTTTGAAATCTCCCGGGTTTGCGCGTGCACGTGAAAAACTTTGTTTCGTTCGTACGTCATGGCGAAACACCTAATGAGTCGGTATCAAGGCGACTCGTTTGAAGCACTATGATTCGACTCTTTTATAGATGAATCAACAGTTTTAAACACTGTATTCTTACAGATTTAAGCCTTAGCTGGATACTTCACTTCACTTAGAGCTGTGTTACACACTACATGGAGGGGAATTTTCAAAAACCCATAATATGGGCTCTTTAAATGGTTATTTCATAATTTGCAGTGGTTCTAAATTGCAGTCAATCATTTTTAAATCTATTTTGCTCTGTAAAGCTGCTTCTGACCATGGCTACACTAAATGGTTATAAGAGACATGTTTTAGGAATTATATGCAACATTATTTATTCTCTTAGGTAAGGTGAGATCTCAACTTTCAACTATCATACGTTGAGGGAAAATGTGCTTTATGCATTATAAAGCATAAAGCATCGCAATCAGTACTTTGTATCGGTCAATCATGATGACAGGGAGTTGATACATGGTATCATCTGCCTCAAAAATCCTGATCGGAGCACCCCTTATATATTTACAGTATCATTCATTCAGTTATTCATTCATTTTCTTGTCGGCTTAGTCCCTTTATTAATCTGGGGTCGCCACAGCGGAATATATATATAAAAGGGGCGACGCAGTGGCGCAGTGGGTAGCATGTTATATTTATAATTATTATGTACAAATAAATATTTATATACAAAACTAACTATAATTTTTTTAACACAATTGCTATATATATATATATATATATATATATATATATATATATATATATACACATACATGTATATATATGTATATATATGTACATGTATATATATATATATATATATATATATATATATATATATATATATAGCATTTGTGTTCAAAAATAAATTTATAGTTACAGTTTTGTACATAAATATTTTTTATTTAGTAGGATATCTGATTAAATGACACATGACTGTACCTGTGGTAGAGAGAGTTCCAGCTCGAGCAGAGGTCTTATACAGTGGTGCGTGGTAGAGGCTTGGCTCAGGAACATAGTTTTGCTGAGGTTCGAAATGAACCACAGGCAGCATAGGGTTCATTACCCTCGAAAGTGCATCTTCAACTACCATGCTTGTGTCATCCCAGCGACAGGCGTCCATGAACATCCCATGAACCAACACACCATCCTCCATGTTGGGGAGCTAAAGAAGCAGACCACATATTGACTTCATCAACATTTATGTTATCTTACGAATTAATATCATGCAAATTTGTGCTATAAAAAAACAACAACAATGTACTTCCCATGTGCTTACTCAAAAAAGCACATGCAATCACGTGAAATACATTGAACACGTGAAACATGGTTTCTCTGTAAGAGAAGAATTTAGAACTGTTTAAAAAAACATTTAAATTAAACTTTAATACATATGTTGCAGGTCCCGTGAAGAGTTATTAACTGCTTTTTTATTTGATGTTTGAAAATCTCAACAAAAATGAAGATATGGTGGGACATAGTGTGGCTCCTCCTCTTAAAAAAATTATTTAAAAAAACAGGCAAACGCGTTCCGTTTTATCATCGCTCTGCCTGTATGGGTGGTTAAGCTCAAATGCACGTCAGATTTGATTGGTCATATTTTTATGAGAACCTGAAGTATGTGGTGACGTGAATAATATCGTTATACCATTTAGGTGACCAACTGCAAGCTTTACATTAATTCATTTATTTATTCATTCATTTATTTTTCTTTGGCTTAGTCTCTCATTTATCAGGGGTGCCAACTGGCCCACCCAGGACTCGAACCAGTGCTCTTCTTGCTGTGAGGCAAGAGTGCAAACCATGCCACCCCGAGCTTTTACATTCATTCATTACTTTTCGGCTTAGTCCCTTTATTAATCGGGGAGAACATGCACACAGAAATGCCAACTGACCCAGCCGAGGCTTGAACCAGTGACCTTGTTGCTGTGCGCTGACAGCACTACCTACTGCGCCACCACGTCGCCCAGCTTTTACATGTTTTTATAAATATTAAATCTCCTGAACTCTGAATTTTTTGTCACTTTTTTGGTGCAAATTAGCTTATAGATATAAAAAAATAACAAGTATCAAGCATTAAAAATC